TGTCCATCAGTGACAGACTGGATTAAGAAAATGTGGCACATATACACCATGGAATACCATGCAGCCATAAAAAAGGATGAGTTCGTGTCCTTTGTAGGGACACGGATGCAGCTGGAAACTATCATTCTCAGCAAACTATCGCAAGAACAGAAAACCAAACACCGCATGTTCTCACTCATAGGTGGGAATTGAACAATGAGATCACTTAGACACAGGAAGGGGATCATCACATACCCGGTCCTATTGCGGAGGGGGGGAGGGGTAGCATTAAGAGATATACCTAATGTAAATGATGAGTTAATGGGTGCAGCACACCAACATGGCACATGTATACATATGTAACAAACCTGCACGTTGTGCACATGTACCCTAGAACTTATATAATAAAAAAAAAAGTAAATCTTCACATTAAAGGTTTGAGGATCAAGCTTCAAAGACAGAATACTAATCCTCATTGTCCACGCATAGCTTAGAAACACTTTTAATTTAAAAAACAAAGTATATTTTTTTAAAAGACACCAATAATAAAACTTTTATAAAGACTTCAAGGAATCAATATGCAGGCATACGCAGCAGCTAAAGAAAAAAAAGCACGCTGTTTAGTTTCAAAAGAATAACTTGGTCTTGACAGAAGGAAACCTTTGAAGTCAATTTCAAAGGAAAGTTAGGATTTACATAACCAGTAAAGAGAAATTAGGACAAAGCAGAGGTGGAATAATTATAGCCAATAACCCTGCAATATAAAAAGGAGCCTCAAGAGGACCTCTTCCTCCTTGCACTTAGTTCCTAAGTCTACCATATTCACAATACCCATTTCAGCCTAAACTTTGTCTTCTGGAGTCAACAATCACTAACCTATTTTAAGGGACTAGAAAATGTTCCACCCTGGCTATGCAGTGAAACCCCGTTCTCTACTAAAACTACAAAAAATTAGCCGGGCGTGGTGGCACGCGCCTGTAGTCCCAGCTACTCACGGGGCTGAGGCAAGAGAACCGCTCGAACCCAGGAGGCGGAGGTTGCAGGGAGCCGAGATCGTGTCACTGCACCACTCCAGCCTGGGCGACAGAGCAAGATTCCGTCTCAACAACAAAAAATAAGAAATAAAAAGAAGAAAATGATGTGATTTACCACAGGAAGGCAGTGACGTATGGACTTCTGGCATCCCTTTCAGAATATAAAGAATATCATTATTTCGGAGAAAAATAAGGACATAAAAGGATATACAAAGCACACATTTTAAAAACAAAAAACAGTATCTGTACTTATATTGTATTTTCACCATTGTTGCCTATTATGTGCCAGGTAGTGAATGAAATAATTTCCACACATTTGTCATTTAATTCTTACAATAGCCCTCTGAGGTGTATGAACAACTACCAGCATTTTACAGGATGAGTTTAAAAGGTATTAAGAAACTTTCCTAAGGTCACCTAGAAAGTGGTAGAGCAGGATTGAGCTCCAAGTCTGTTTGGATGCTGACCTTTTTCACCCTCTTACCTATTATCATAAACTAGAATGGGAAGCAGAGCTGGGCATAATGCCAAACTACAAATAATCCTCAAAGAGTCCCTTTATTTTAGAATATATTGACTGGCGTTTTACAAAACAGATCTACATTCCTAAACCTTGTAACAAAGTGAGTCGACATTCCATAAGCACACTCAGCAAGCAGGGATTTGTTCTAGAGAAACGTGAAACTAGTCGACATTACTAATATCCCCAGTGTTCGAGTGAGGGGAGGGAAAAAGCCATACACCTGAATGCAAAAAAAGGAAGGGGGTGGAGTTGTTCGAATAGAGTTACATATTTTGCTGTCCTAAGTTACATATTGTTATCAAAGTATTTACAAAAGAAGCATGAGTCTGGGTAACACATTACCACCCTCCCCCCCTCCATTTTCCCTACTAAAATACTATTAAATTTGGCAGCAAAGGAGCCCCCGGAACAGTGGCTCAGCAAAACGGTGGCAAATGCAAGGCCATAAAGGGCTGCCATTAAGATGTCTCTCCATGGGGAAGGAGTGTTTTCACTGTTACAGAGCAACTAGCTGATCAGAGTGGGGCCGTGCTTTGATCAGAAATCCTTCAAAAATGCACTGCCTGACACCTAGTTTTAACAACCAATGGCAGGGACAAGTTGGAGACGCTGGGGGGTGAAGTTCCAGGATACCAAACGGTCTCCGGCCGACAGGATCCCTTAAGGGACCCCGCAGACAAGGATGACGGTGGCCCGCCGGTGGGAGACGCTGGGCCTTCGCCCCTGGCAGCAGCGGGATCTCTCTCCGGATGTCCACTGCAACCTGGACGGAGCTGTTTCCACTCCTCTAGCCCGCAACCCTCGGCTCCCTTCCCCCCAAGAAGGAACTCACTGTTCTGGGTGCTACACCCAAGGCGCCCTGCACCCCCAGCAGTCCAGGAGGAAGGCGCTCCCCTCTCCCTCTAACCCCACCAACCCAGGGTCCTAAACTCTCAAACCCGGAAGGCAGAAACAGGAAGTTACCCCCATCTCCCTTGGCGGCTTTGCTAGAGCCGCTCTAGGAAGCAGTGATGGCCAACTCTCGTTGATCTTAACCCTTAGGGTCCTGGACCAGAAGGAGCGTGGGGGTGGATTTCCTTTCCTTGTGCTGTGACAGCTGTGAACCTCATTCCTGTCACTTGTTAGGCGGCTTACGACAGAGGCCTGATTGGAGCTTATACCTTTCCTTGCCATCAGAATATCATCAGATTAATTATCATCACTATTAGAATAAAAATCAATCTAGTATTTTTTTTTTTTGGAAACGGAGTCTCGCTCTGTCACCCAGGCTAGAGTGCAGTAGCGCGATCTCGCCTCACTGCAAGCTCCGACTCCCGGGTTCACGCAATCCTCCTGCCTCAGCCTCCCGAGTAGCTGGGACTACAGGCACCTGCCACCACACCCGGCTAATTTTTGTATTTTTAGTAGAGATGGGGTTTCACCGTGTTAGCCAGGATGGTCTCGATCTCCTCACCTCGTGATCCGCTCGCCTCAGCCTCCCAAAGTGCTGGGATTACAGGCGTGAGCCACCGTGCCTGGTCTCATTCTAGTATTTTTAAACACTTACTGTTTCTGTTCCCACCGCTGTGAGCGTGGATATATATTTACTTATCTGTGAAAGTTAGAAAGCCAAGGCATCCATTCACATATAAAACAATTCGTTTACAAGTCACCCTTATTAACTCCTGGAAAAGTATTTAATCCCTCCTTTTTCATTACAGAGAAAATAGAAGCCAGTCCCTTCATCTCATCTCTACCAAACACAGAAATCCACTCAAGTCTGCACACTGCCATTCTGTTTCTTCCTGTTACAACACAGAGTTCCTCTTTGGCGGTTTTTTTTTTTTTTTTTCTTTTTGGGTTTTTTTTTGTTTTTGTTTTTGTTTTTTTGGAGATAGAGTCTCACTGTGTCCCCCAGCCTGGAGTGCAATGGCA